TATTGAGACACTACAAAGACAACACTTATATACATTCTTAATTTTGGCGGGAAGGGTATCTATTACACCGTTATCATTGGTCAGTAAGGATGCGCTATGACTGGCTGTTTTTAACATCCGGCCCATATGGGGTTGGTCACATCGGGGAGACATATGATTGGGTAAGAGGTTGAAGGTCGCTGAAGGCCGAATCCTAAACTGTCACCAAGCTCGGTGATTTTGATTTCCAACATTCTCCCGGGCCTCGAAGTTAAACGGAAAATCGAGCTAGAAACAATCAAATAAATCAAAATTGTCGAGTAAATTGTAGAATTAAATGAAACTAAAGTACATAAGCGTTGAAAATAATCATTGTAGATATATATGAATCATCGTAGTCATGGAAAACAAAGCATACTAAATATAAAGGATACATGCAGTAAATCGATAGGAAATGAATGCATTGAACGTTATAGTAATGCAAATATCGAAAGTCACGAGATAATTAAAAGTTCAGTAACAATGATAAATAAGAGTTCCTATAAATACAAATAACATAGTGTTCACACGTCATGTAACAGTTTGTTACAAAGAATTGTAGAAGAGTTCATTTAGACTTGGTTCATGTCCGAGATACGGTATCGTGCAACAACAGCGGCAGTCCGTTTTGGGCGTGGTTCAATGTTGTTACCCGAAGTTCGAGGATCAGCAGGTAAATCCAAATGCGTTGTGTCTATATTTACACGAGGTATATCCATGGTTGTGACGTCGGCGTTCATTTCTAGTGGATATAATTTGTTGATAGGTCTGTTTGACCTGATCGCTGATCGTACGAGTTTGTCTCTTCCGTAGACGAGTTCCACGACAACTGCCATCGGCCATTTAATGCGATGGTCAATATCATTGTGGACGAGGACGACGTCTCCGACCTTGATTATATTGTCTGTTTTGCCGGTTAACTTGTGATTCTCGCGTAGTGCAGGTAAATACTCCGCTGTCCAGCGTTTCCAGAAATGCGCGAGTAATCTAGCGAGATGTGCGTATCGTTTGTTTACGTCGTCATGGTTACTGAAGGTCGGGTCGTTGAGTTCATCGTCGCTTATTTCCGGGTAAGGTAATATTGTCATTTGACGTCCATGTAATAAATGAGATGGAGTTAATGGCGTAGCATCGTCGATATCACCGGAAACATAAGTGATTGGACGGTCATTTAGAGTCGTTTCAATTTCGGTTAGTACAGTTCGTAATTCTTCAAACGAGATATAGGATCGCCCTAATACCTTTTTGATCGCGTTTTTTGTCATTCCGATGAGCCGTTCCCAGAAACCTCCTTACCATGGTGCACGTTTAGGAATGAAGTGCCAGTGTATGCGTTTGTTAGCTAGATATTGTTTCACGTCCGGAGAGTCGAATAATTGATTCAGTTCATTAGCGGCTGATAAGTACGTGGATGCATTGTCCGATATTAGTTTTCCTGGCAACGAGCGTCTGGCGACAAAACGGCGAAACGCGAGAAGAAAACTTTGTGTTGATAGATTGGGCATAAGTTCTAAATGTACGGCTCTCGTCACTGCACATGTGAATAAGCATACGTATGATTTCGTTTCTTTAGCTGTCTCAGGAGATTTCACGTGTAGAGCACCAGTGAAGTCTACCCCAGTCACGGTAAAGGGCGAAGTTATATTCACTCGACACGATTGAAGCGGTGCTTGTAGTGGTGTCTGGTAGGGCTTCCCGCTTACTTTACGGCAGGTAATGCAGCTGTGTAGAAGTCTACCTACGACTCGGCGTATTTTCGCGATCCAATAGCGCTGACGGATATGAGTCACCGTTGATTGTACTCCGGCATGAAGTACACTTGCATGGGCGTTTAGAATCAGAAGATCGGTATACCTGTGATTATTAGGAAGAAGTATAGGAAATTTTGTGTCCGTACGTAAGGGAGCATTATGTAGCCTCCCACCACAGCGAAGTAAACCACATTCGTCTACGAAGAGTTTAAGTTGTTTCACAAGCGAGCCATTTTTTGTCTGTTGATGTTGTAGAGATTTAATGGTTTCATAAAACGCGGCTTGTTGTATATCCTTAATCCACACGTGTTCAGCGCGTTGAATTTCTTCGGCTGTGAGGTATCCACTTTTCAGTGTTTGGTTTCTGTGTCTTGTATTAGATATAAATCTTAATACCAGTGCAGTTACTCGGAGTAATTTGTTTAGAGAGCTGTATCGTGTCGCATCGACCACGTGCTGGATTCCTGTTTCGGTAGGAATGTCAGACTGAGGGGTATGTTCAAGTTGGCCTTCTGAAGTGTCGGCTGTTGATATATGATGAACAGCACTGTCATATAAATCACAGATTGGCCAGTCACCTTGACTCAACCAGGGGGGTCCATTCCACCAAAGATCACAATTTTCCAATTTCTGGGCGGATATACCACGAGATATCATGTCTGCAGGGTTGTCGGTTGTTGGACAATATTTGAAATTACATGGAAACTGGTTGATCTCTTTGACGCGATTCGCAACGAATGTGGGTAGTTTCTTGTTGCTACCTATCCAATGCAGGACGATTTGGCTATCCGACCAAAGTGTGCAACTCGTAATGTTCAACTTGTCTTTGAGCGCGTTGAACACAAATTTCATCAACCTAGAAGCGATTAAAGCTGCCATTAATTCCAAGCGTGGTATGGTTAATTCTTTCATGGGCGCTACACGTGTCTTTGACATAACGAGCGAAGTTTGGTTGTCATAGCGACGAAGATAAGCGACAGCACCATATGCTTTACTGCTAGCATCGGCAAACACATGTAATTCAACATTCTTATTGTCATGAATGTGTGAATTTATAGTTCCGTCAGCGTTGAAATATTGGCGTTTAATTTTAGTGTTCCGTATTTCATTTAAATCTTCAGCGATATCAATCCATTGTTTGTGTATGTTCTCGTCTACTGGGTCGTCCCAAGCGAGTTTTCTTTTCCATAAATCTTGAACAAACAATTTTGCCTTTATGTGTACTGGAGAGAGATATCCAAGGGGGTCGTACAAGACGGCGGTTGTCCTGACGACCTCGCGTTTAGTAGTCAGACTGACTGGCTGTGGCGAGCCGACTTTCTTTGTATAAGTTAACTGGTCGGACTCAGTTAACCAACGGATTCCAAGAACGTTAACCGTAGAATTAGAATCAAGAGCATTGTTCTTTCTTGCTAGTGAACGGAGTTCGTCACAATTTGATGCCCACGAGCGTAGATTAAATCCACATGAATTCATAAGTTGGGTAGCATCATTGTAGTATGCAGATGCTCCAATTGTGTTGTCAGTCCCTGTAACAATATTGTCCACATAGATGTTTTCTCTGAGATCATTTGCGGTAGAGCTGTCGAGATTATTTTCTAAATGCGTTTTGACGACAGCATTTAAAATAAACGGAGAAGAAACAGCACCGAATAATATTACTTTGAACCGGTATATTGTGAACGGACTTTCGGGATCGGACGGATCCGTTAGCCACATGAACTTGGTAAACTCGCGATCATCGTTCTCTAATCCAACCTGCAAAAACGCCTTCTCTATATCACTAGTTAATGCAAAGCGGTTGACGCGGAAGCGAAGTAGAATTGAAGTGAGATCATTCAGAAGGGAGGGTCCGGTTTCTAAACAATCATTTAGACTCGGAGAATCACGCGATTTACAACTACAATCATAAACTACTCGTATAGGTGTTGTAATTGAATCCTTTTTCACTGAGTGGTGCGGTAAATAATGGCCACGTGTATTGTCGTCATCTTTTACTTCTTCAATGAAGTTTCGGCTTTTCTGATCATTGATGATTTTATCGTAAGTTTGTAAAAGTTCCGGTGTCAATTTACGGACCATGGCGCGAGTGCGTTTCTCAGTGATGTCGTAGTTGGTGGGAAGCGGTGGGTGGTCACGTTTCCAGGGTAACCGAGCTATGTACTTCCCGTTTTCTTCTCGCAGATGAGTATCACGAAAGATTTCGAAGTTATCAACATTAATGTCCGATTTCGACGAGTCATCTTTGATACCGATTGTTTCTAAATCCCAATAACTTTGTAGTTTAGATTCTTCTTCGTATACGTGTGTCATGACGTGTAATGTGGTAGCGTTAGTTTCCGATGATATTCCTTGACGAATTGGACCGGAAAGTAAGTATCCAAACTTAGAACTTACAGCGGTCGGGCCTGGGCCGCGTATAACGTGATCTTCGACAAAGTCCCAATAGAAATCTGCTCCAATCAATAAAGAAACTGTGAAAGAGTCAATACTTGAAACGGGTTGCGCAAGTTTCAATGCGCGTAAATGAGGCAAGTTGCGAATCGACGGAGTAACAAAGTTCTTCATTGGTGTTGAGATTTCGGGCACTATTAAAGCATTAATGTCACGTTTGGCCCCTGTAATAGTGTGTAAAGTAAGTGTCGCCACTTCCAAAGATCGCGCACGAGAATTCTTGTCTCCAAATGCGGCGAGGTGTATCACTTCAGAGCGAATAGATTTAATCCCAAGTTTTGAAGCAAGTTCTGTAGTAATAAAAGATCGCGTGGCACCTTCATCGAATAATACGTTAGCGTGAACTTTCTCGTAGTCGGCAGAGATCGGAATAACGGCTGTCTTCAGAAGGACTGGCCCGGTCGGTAATTCGCGTGGAATATCTTCAAAGTCGGCTTTGGCAAATTGAACGTGGGTTTCAACCGCATGTGACGCGGCATTTGGCGTTTTCGACGAGTTCGTGTGTGAATTTGAGTTCGTAGGCTGAGTTGAGTGAAGAGCGGTGTGGTGTTTTCGTTGACAAGTACGGCAACTAAACTTAGATTTGCAGGCACTTACGCGATGTCTTCCGAGGCAATTAAAACATAAATTGTCCCGTTTAACTACCTCCATTCGTTTATTGCGATCGACGACAATTTTGCAGTTATTTGGGCTGTGTTCTCCCTTGCAGAAAGCACACGATCGTGGTTTCCGTGGTTCTGTAGACGTTCCGGCGTAGAACGCAGCGGTGACGGGTGGTTCAGTAGGTGGTTCGCGGTCAAATTCGTCGAGCGAATAACCGGCTTGTAATGCGTCAATTTCCTTAAGGATAGCTTCACGTAATTCGCAAAGTTTCCACTCACAATTGCCGTGTTCCCGTGCAATTTGTTTTCGGACGTAACCGGGTAATTTCTCTAGCATAATCGGCACAAGCAGATCGCCGTACGAGTCTTCTCTTTTTCCCAAAGATTGGAGACCGCGAATATAACTTTCAAGACTGTCATAAAAATTTCTCAGGCTGTTGAGATCACCTGTTGGTTTTGGCATCTCCCATAGCGATTTCATGTATGCGGCGATGATTTTATGGTTTTGTCCATAACGATCAACGAGAATCTGAATGGCATGTCTGTAGTTAGAATCGGTCAGTTGAAGGCCTTCAATGGCGCGAGCTGCTTCGCCTGTAAGTTGCGCACGTAAATATTGGAACTTTTGGACATCTCCGAGATTAGAATCACTGTGTACTGCAGATTTAAAAGCATCGTAGAAACTCACCCATTGAAGTATATTACCATTAAATGTCGGCAGTTGAAGTTTTGGCAGGCTTATTGTTTTCGGGGCAGTTAAATACATCGCCTGTGCTGTATTGTCACCGCTTGTACTGGGTGTAACTGTCGGCGGGGTTGAAACTGTCGGTGGGGTTGTTTCCTCTGTTCCGTGGCTGGATGGGTTTGTTGGTTCCCTGCGCTTTCTTTCGATTAGCCGTTGAATCTTGAATTTACTTGCGTAGACGTCATTGAGGTAGTCACTGGAATCTTCTATGGTACTTTCGATATCGTCTTCCTCTACCAGTTCTAAGATACGTTCATCAATGGATTTCAGTATATCATACCTCTCTTGTATCAGTTCTTGATTCGAGGTGAGTGTCTCGATGGCCACGAACTTGTCGGTACTTTCGAGTTCAAAGGAGGCGATGACTGCTTCTGCCTTGTTGAGTAGCTTCGTCATCTGTGAGCGATGGCCATTTCTTGATCTCTTCAACTTGGAGAGTGATGTCGCGGAGACTTGACTTGGATTTTGTTTATCTGCCATCCTGGTCTCGGCACCAAAAAATGTGGAGTAGGTTTCTTCGGATGATGGCAAGATACAGAAACGACACCAGCTATTGACAGTTGAACAGATTTATTGAAAACACTATTGAGACACTACAAAGACAACACTTATATACATTCTTAATTTTGGCGGGAAGGGTATCTATTACACCGTTATCATTGGTCAGTAAGGATGCGCTATGACTGGCTGTTTTTAACATCCGGCCATATGGGGTTGGTCACATCGGGGAGACATATGATTGGGTAAGAGGTTGAAGGTCGCTGAAGGCCGAATCCTAAACTGTCACCAAGCTCGGTGATTTTGATTTCCAACATTCTCCCGGGCCTCGAAATTAAACGGAAAATCGAGCTAGAAACAATCAAATAAATCAAAATTGTCGAGTAAATTGTAGAATTAAATGAAACTAAAGTACATAAGCGTTGAAAATAATCATTGTAGATATATATGAATCATCGTAGTCATGGAAAACAAAGCATGCTAAATATAAAGGATACATGCAGTAAATCGATAGGAAATGAATGCATTGAATGTTATAGTAATGCAAATATCGAAAGTCACGAGATAATTAAAAGTTCAGTAACAATGATAAATAAGAGTTCCTATAAATACAAATAACATAGTGTTCACACGTCATGTAACAGTTTGTTACAAAGAATTGTAGAAGAGTTCATTTAGACTTGGTTCATGTCCTAGATACGGTATCGTGCAACAACAGCGGCAGTCCGTTTTGGGCGTGGTTCAATGTTGTTACCCGAAGTTCGAGGATCAGCAGGTAAATCCAAATGCGTTGTGTCTATATTTACACGAGGTATATCCATGGTTGTGACGTCAGCGTTCATTTCTAGTGGATATAATTTGTTGATAGGTCTGTTTGTACGTCCATTCTTTGTTCTAATAAACGCTGATCGTACGAGTTTGTCTCTTCCGTAGACAAGTTCCTCAACAACTGCCATCGGCCATTTAATGCGATGGTCAATATCATTGTGGACGAGGACAACGTCTCCGACCTTGATTATATTGTCTGTTTTGCCGGTTAACTTGTGATTCTCGCGTAGTGCAGGTAAATACTCCGCTGTCCAGCGTTTCCAGAAATGCGCGAGTAACCTAGCGAGATGTGCGTATCGTTTGTTTACGTTGTCATGGTTACTGAAGGTCGGGTCGTTGAGTTCATCGTCGCTTATTTCCGGGTAAGGTAATATTGTCATTTGACGTCCATGTAATAAATGAGATGGAGTTAATGGCGTAGCATCGTCGATATCACCGGAAACATAAGCGATTGGACGGTCATTTAGAGTCGTTTCAATTTCGGTTAGTACAGTTCGTAATTCTTCAAACGAGATATAGGATCGCCCTAATACCTTTTTGATCGCGTTTTTTGTCATTCCGATGAGCCGTTCCCAGAAACCTCCATACCATGGTGCACGTTTAGGAATGAAGTGCCAGTGTATGCGTTTGTTAGCTAGATATTGTTTCACGTCCGGAGAGTCGAATAATTGATTCAGTTCATTAGCGGCTGATAAGTACGTGGATGCATTGTCCGATATTAGTTTTCCTGGCAACGAGCGTCTGGCGACAAAACGGCGAAACGCGAGAAGAAAACTTTGTGTTGATAGATTGGGCATAAGTTCTAAATATACGGCTCTCGTCACTGCACATGTGAATAAACATACGTATGATTTCGTTTCTTTAGCTGTCTCAGGAGATTTCACGTGTAGAGCACCAGTGAAGTCTACCCCAGTCACGGTAAAGGGCGAAGTTATATTCACTCGACACGATTGAAGCGGTGCTTGTAGTGGTGTCTGGTAGGGCTTCCCGCTTACTTTACGGCAGGTAACGCAGCTGTGTAGAAGTCTACCTACGACTCGGCGTATTTTCGCGATCCAATATCGCTGACGGATATGAGTCACCGTTGATTGTACTCCGGCATGAAGTACACTTGCATGGGCGTTTAGAATCAGAAGATCGGTATACCTGTGATTATTAGGCAGAAGTATAGGAAATTTTGTGTCCGTACGTAAGGGAGCATTATGTAGCCTCCCACCACAGCGAAGTAAACCACGTTCGTCTACGAAGAGTTTAAGTTGTTTCACAAGCGAGCCATTTTTTGTCTGTTGATGTTGTAGAGATTTAATGGTTTCATAAAACGCGGCTTGTTGTATATCCTTAAGCCACAAGTGTTCAGCGCGTTGAATTTCTTCGGCTGTGAGGTATCCACTTTTCGGTGTTTGGTTTCTGTGTCTTGTATTAGATATAAATCTTAATACCAGTGCAGTTACTCGGAGTAATTTGTTTAGAGAGCTGTATCGTGTCGCATCGACCACGTGCTGGATTCCTGTTTCAGTAGGAATGTCAGACTGAGGGGTGTGTTCAAGTTGGCCTTCTGAAGTGTCGGCTGTTGATATATGATGAACAGCACTGTCATATAAATCACAGATTGGCCAGTCACCTTGACTCAACCAGGGGGGTCCATTCCACCAAAGATCACAATTTTCCAATTTCCGGGCGGATATTCCGCGAGATATCATGTCTGCAGGGTTGTCGGTTGTTGGACAATATTTGAAATTACATGGAAACTGGTTGATCTCTTTGACGCGATTCGCAACGAATGTGGGTAGTTTCTTGTTGCTACCTATCCAATGCAGGACGATTTGGCTATCTGACCAAAGTGTGCAACTCGTAATGTTCAACTTGTCTTTGAGCGCGTTGAACACAAATTTCATCAACCTAGAAGCGATTAAAGCTGCCATTAATTCCAAGCGTGGTATGGTTAATTCTTTCATGGGCGCTACACGTGTCTTTGACATAACGAGCGAAGTTTGGTTGTCATAGCGACGAAGATAAGCGACAGCACCATATGCTTTACTGCTAGCATCGGCAAACACATGTAATTCAACATTCTTATTGTCATGAATGTGTGAATTTATAGTTCCGTCATCGTTGAAATATTGGCGTTTAATTTTAGTGTTCCGTATTTCATTTAAATCTTCAGCGATATCAATCCATTGTTTGTGTATGTTCTCGTCTACTGGGTCGTCCCAAGCGAGTTTTCTTTTCCATAAATCTTGAACAAACAATTTTGCCTTTATGTGTACTGGAGAGAGATATCCAAGGGGGTCGTACAAGACGGCGGTCGTCCTGACGACCTCGCGTTTAGTAGTCAGACTGACTGGCTGTGGCGAGCCGACTTTCTTTGTATAAGTTAACTGGTCGGACTCAGTTAACCAACGGATTCCAAGAACGTTAACCGTAGAATTAGAATCAAGAGCATTGTCCTTTCTTGCTAGTGAACGGAGTTCGTCACAATTTGATGCCCACGAGCGTAGATTAAATCCACATGAATTCATAAGTTGGGTAGCATCATTGTAGTATGCAGATGCTCCAATTGTGTTGTCAGTCCCTGTAACAATATTGTCCACATAGGTGTTTTCTCTGAGATCATTTGCGGTAGAGCTGTCGAGATTATTTTCTAAATGCGTTTTGACGACAGCATTTAAAATAAACGGAGAAGAAACAGCACCGAATAATATTACTTTGAACCGGTATATTGTGAACAGACTTTCGGGATCGGACGGATCCGTTAGCCACATGAACTTGGTAAACTCGCGATCATCGTTCTCTAATCCAACCTCAAAAATGCCTTCTCTATATCACTAGTTAATGCAAAGCGGTTGACGCGGAAGCGAAGTAGAATTGAAGTGAGATCATTCAGAAGGGAGGGTCCGGTTTCTAAACAATCATTTAGACTCGGAGAATCACGCGATTTACAACTACAATCATAAACTACTCGTATAGGTGTTGTAATTGAATCCTTTTTCACTGAGTGGTGCGGTAAATAATGGCCGCGTGTATTGTCGTCATCTGTTACTTCTTCAATGAAGTTTCGGCTTTTCTGATCATTGATGATTTTATCGTAAGTTTGTAAAAGTTTCGGTGTCAATTTACGGACCATGGCGCGAGTGCGTTTCTCAGTGATGTCGTAGTTGGTGGGAAGCGGTGGGTGGTCACGTTTCCAGGGTAACCGAGCTATGTACTTCCCGTTTTCCACTCGCAGATGAGTATCACGAAAGATTTCGAAGTTATCAACATTAATGTCCGATTTCGACGAGTCATCTTTGATACCGATTGTTTCTAAATCCCAATAACTTTGTAGTTTAGATTCTTCTTCGTATACGTGTGTCATGACGTGTAATGTGGTAGCGTTAGTTTCCGATGATATTCCTTGACGAATTGGACCGGAAAGTAAGTATCCAAACTTAGAACTTACAGCGGTCGGGCCTGGGCCGCGTATAACGTGATCTTCGACAAAGTCCCAATAGAAATCTGCTCCAATCAATGAAGAAACTGTGAAAGAGTCAATACTTGAAACGGGTTGCGCGTAAATGAGGCAAGTTGCGAATCGACGGAGTAACAAAGTTCTTCATTGGTGTTGAGATTTCGGGCACTATTAAAGCATTAATGTCACGTTTGGCCCCTGTAATAGTGTGTAAAGTAAGTGTCGCCACTTCCAAAGATCGCGCACGAGAATTCTTGTCTCCAAATGCGGCGAGGTGTATCACTTCAGAGCGAATAGATTTAATCCCAAGTTTTGAAGCAAGTTCTGTAGTAATAAAAGATCGCGTGGCACCTTCATCGAATAATACGTTAGCGTGAACTTTCTCGTAGTCGGCAGAGATCGGAATAACGGCTGTCTTCAGAAGGACTGGCCCGGTCGGTAATTCGCGTGGAATATTTTCAAAGTCAGCTTTGGCAAATTGAACGTGGGTTTCAACCGTATGTGACGCGGCATTTGGCGTTTTCGACGAGTTCGTGTGTGAATTTGAGTTCGTAGGCTGAGTTGAGTGAAGAGCGGTGTGGTGTTTTCGTTGACAAGTACGGCAACTAAACTTAGATTTGCAGGCACTTACGCGATGTCATCCGAGGCAATTAAAACATAAATTGTCCCGTTTAACTACCTCCATTCGTTTATTGCGATCGACGACAACTTTGCAGTTATTTGGGCTGTGTTCTCCCTTGCAGAAAGCACACGATCGTGGTTTCCGTGGTTCTGTAGACGTTCCGGCGTAGAACGCAGCGGTGACGGGTGGTTCAGTAGGTGGTTCGCGGTCAAATTCGTCGAGCGAATAACCGGCTTGTAATGCGTCAATTTCCTTAAGGATAGCTTCACGTAATTCGCAAAGTTTCCACTCACAATTGCCGTGTTCCCGTGCAATTTGTTTTCGGACGTAACCAGGTAATTTCTCTAGCATAATCGGCACAAGCAGATCGCCGTACGAGTCTTCTCTTTTTCCCAAAGATTGGAGACCGCGAATATAACTTTCAAGACTGTCATAAAAATTTCTCAGGCTGTTGAGATCACCCGTTGGTTTTGGCATCTCCCATAGCGATTTCATGTATGCGGCGATGATTTTATGGTTTTGTTCATAACGATCAACGAGAATCTGAATGGCATGTCTGTAGTTAGAATCGGTCAGTTGAAGGCCTTCAATGGCGCGAGCTGCTTCGCCTGTAAGTTGCGCACGTAAATATTGGAACTTTTGGACATCTCCGAGATTAGAATCATTGTGTACTGCAGATTTAAAAGCATCGTAGAAACTCACCCATTGAAGTATATTACCATTAAATGTCGGCAGTTGAAGTTTTGGCAGGCTTATTGTTTTCGGGGCAGTTAAATACATCGCCTGTGCTGTATTGTCACCGCTTGTACTGGGTGTAACTGTCGGCGGGGTTGAAACTGTCGGTGGGGTTGTTTCCTCTGTTCCGTGGCTGGATGGGTTTGTTGGTTCCCTGCACTTTCTTTCGATTAGCCGTTGAATCTTGAATTTACTTGCGTAGACGTCATTGAGGTAGTCACTGGAATCTTCTATGGTACTTTCGATATCGTCTTCCTCTACCAGTTCTAAGATACGTTCATCAAGGGATTTTAGTATATCATACCTCTCTTGTATCAGTTCTTGATTCGAGGTGAGTGTCTCGATGGCCACGAACTTGTCGGTACTTTCGAGTTCAAAGGAGGCGATGACTGCTTCTGCCTTGTTGAGTAGCTTCGTCATCTGTGAGTGATGGCCATTTCTTGATCTCTTCAACTTGGAGAGTGATGTCGCGGAGACTTGACTTGGATTTTGTTTATCTGCCATCCTGGTCTCGGCACCAAAAAATGTGGAGTAGGTTTCTTCGGATGATGGCAAGATACAGAAACGACACCAGCTATTGACAGTTGAACAGATTTATTGAAACACTATTGAGACACTACAAAGACAACACTTATATACATTCTTAATTTTGGCGGGAAGGGTATCTATTACACCGTTATCATTGGTCAGTAAGGATGCGCTATGACTGGCTGTTGTTTACATCCGGCCATATGGGATTGGTCACATCGGGGAGACATATGATTGGGTAAGAGGTTGAAGGTCGCTGAAGGCCGAATCCTAAACTGTCACCAGGCTCGGTGATTTTGATTTCCAACATTCTCCCGGGCCTTGAAAATAAACGGAAAATCGAGCTAGAAACAATCAAATAAATCAAAATTGTCGAGTAAATTGTAGAATTAAATGAAACTAAAGTACATAAGCGTTGAAAATAATCATTGTAGATATATATGAATCATCGTAGTCATGGAAAACAAAGCATACTAAATATAAAGGATACATGCAGTAAATCGATAGGAAATGAATGCATTGAACGTTATAGTAATGCAAATATCGAAAGTCACGAGATAAGTAAAAGTTCAGTAACAATGATAAATAGGAGTTCCTATAAATACAAATAATATAGTGTTCACACGTCATGTAACAGTTTGTTACAAAGAATTGTAGAAGAGTTTATTTAGACTTGGTTCATGTCCGAGATACGGTATCGTGCAACAACAGCGGCAGTCCGTTTTGGGCGTGGTTCAATGTTGTTACCCGAAGGTCTAGGATCAGCAGGTAAATCCAAATGCGTTGTGTCTATTTTTACATGAGGTATATCCATGGTTGTGACGTCGGCGTTCATTTCTAGTGAATATAATTTGTTGATAGGTCTGTTTGTACGTCCATTCTTTGTTCTAATAAACGCTGATCGTACGAGTTTGTCTCTTCCGTAAATCTTGAACAAACAATTTTGCCTTTATGTGTACTGGAGAGAGATATCCAAGGGGGTCGTACAAGACGGCGGTTGTCCTCGCGTTTAGTAGTCAGACTGACTGGCTGTGGCGAGCCGACTTTCTTTGTATAAGTTAACTGGTCGGACTCAGTTAACCAACGGATTCCAAGAACGTTAACCATAGAATTAGAATCAAGAGCATTGTCCTTTCTTGCTAGTGAATGGAGTTCGTCACAATTTGATGCCCACGAGCGTAGATTAAATCCACATGAATTCATAAGTTGGGTAGCATCATTGTAGTATGCAGATGCTCCAATTGTGTTGTCAGTTCCTGTAACAATATTGTCCACATAGATGTTTTCTCTGAGGTCATTTGCGGTAGAGCTGTCGAGATTATTTTCTAAATGCGTTTTGACAACAGCATTTAAAATAAACGGAGAAGAAACAGCACCGAATAATATTACTTTCAACCAGTATATTGTGAATGGACTTTCGGGATCGGACGGATCCGTTAGCCACATAAACTTGGTAAACTCGCGATCATCATTCTCTAATCCAACCTGCAAAAACGCCTTCTCTATATCACTAGTTAATGCAAAGCGGTTGACGCGGAAGCGAAGTAGAATTGAAGTGAGATCATTCAGAAGGGAGGGTCCGGTTTCTAAACAATCATTTAGACTTGGGGAATCACGCGATTTATAACTACAATCATAAACTACTCGTATAGGCGTTGTAATTGAATCTTTTTTCACTGAGTGGTGCGGTAAATAATGGCCACGTGTATTGTCGTCATCTTTTACTTCTTCAATGAAGTTTCGGCTTTTCTGATCATTGATGATTTTATCGTAAGTTTGTAAAAGTTCCGGTGTCAATTTACGGACCATGGCGCGAGTGCGTTTCTCAGTGATGTCGTAGTTGGTGGGAAGCGGTGGGTGGTCACGTTTCCAGGGTAACCGAGCTATGTACTTCCCGTTTTCCACTCGCAGATGAGTATCACGAAAGATTTCGAAGTTATCAACATTAATGTCCGATTTCGACGAGTCATCTTTGATCCCGATTGTTTCTAAATCCCAATAACTTTGTAGTTTAGATACTTCTTCGTATACGTGTGTCATGACGTGTAATATGGTAGCGTTAGTTTCCGATGATATTCCTTGACAGATTGGGCCAGAAAGTAAGTATCCAAACTTCGAACTTACAGCGGTTGGGCCTGGGCCGCGTATAACGTGATCTTCGACGACGTCCCAATAGAAATCTGCTCCAATCAATAAAGAAACTGTGAAAGAGTCAATACTTGAAACGGGTTGCGCAAGTTTCAAACCACGTAAATGAGGCAAGTTGCGAATCGATGGAGTAACAAAGTTCTTCATTAGTGTTGAGATTTCGGGCACTATTAAAGCATTAATGTCACAATTGGCCCCTGTAATAGTGTGTAAAGTAAGTGTCGCCACTTCCAAAGATCGCGCACGAGAATTCTTGTCTCCAAATGCGGCGAGGTGTATCACTTCAGAGCGAATAGATTTAATCCCAAGTTTTGAAGCAAGTTCTGTAGTAATAAAAGATCGAGTGGCACCTTCATCGAATAATACGTTAGCGTGAACTTTCTCATAGTCGGCAGAGATCTGAATAACGGCTGTCTTCAGAAGGACTGGCCCGGTCGGTAATTCGCGTGGAATATCTTCAAAGTTGGCTTTGGCAAATTGAACGTGGGTTTCAATCGTATGTGACGCGGCATTTGGCGTTTTCGGCGAGTTCGCATGTGAATTTGAGTTCGTAGGCTGAGTTGAGTGAATTAAAACATAAATTGTCCCGTTTAACTACCTCCATTCGTTTATTGCGATCGACGACAACTTTGCAGTTATTTGGGCTGTGTTCTCCCTTGCAGAAAGCACACGATCGTGGTTTCTGTGGTTCTGTAGACGTTCCGGCGTAGAACGCGGCGGTGACGGGTGGTTCAGTAGGTGGTTCGCGGTCAAATTCGTCGGCTTGTAATGCGTCAATTTCCTTAATGATAGCTTCACGTAATTCGTAAAGTTTCCACTCACAATTGCCGTGTTCCCGTGCAATTTGTTTTCGGACGTAACCGGGTAATTTCTCTAGCATAATCGGCACAAGCAGATCGCCGTATGAGTCTTCTCTTTTTCCCAAAGATTGGAGATCGCGAATATAACTTTCAAGACTGTCATAAAAATTTCTCAGGCTGTTGAGATCACCCGTTGGTTTTGGCATCTCCCATAGCGATTTCATGTATGCGGCGATGATTTTATGGTTTTGTCCATAACGATCAACGAGAATCTGAATGGCATGTCTGTAGTTAGAATCGGTCAGTTGAAGGCCTTCAATGGCACGAGCTGCTTCGCCTGTAAGTTGCGCACGTAAATATTGGAACTTTTGGACATCTTCGAGATTAGAATCACTGTGTACTGCAGATTTAAAGGCATCGTAGAAACTCACCCATTGAAGTATATTACCATTAAATGTCGGCAGTTGAAGTTTTGGCAGGCTTATTGTTTTCGGGGCAGTGAAATACATCGCCTGTGCTGTATTGTCACCGCTTGTACTGGGTGTAACTGTCGGCGGGGTTGAAACTGTCGGTGGGGTTGTTTCCTCTGTTCCGGGGCTGGATGGGTTTGTTGGTTCCCTGCGCTTTCTTTCGATTAACCGTTGAATCTTGAATTCACTTGCATAGACGTCATTGAGGTAGTCACTGGAATCTTCTATGGTACTTTCTATATCGTCTTTCTCTACCAGTTCTAAGATACGTTCATCAAGGGATTTCAGTATATCATACCTCTCTTGTATCAGTTCTTGATTCGAGGTGAGTGTCTCGATGGCCACGAACTTGTCGGTACTTTCGAGTTCAAAGGAGGCGATGACTGCTTCTGCCTTGTTGAGTAGCTTCGTCATCTGTGAGCGATTGCCATTTCTCGATCTCTTCAATTTGGAGAGTGATGTCGCGGAGACTTGACTTGGATTTTGTTTATCTGCCATCCTGGTCTCGGCACCAAAAAATGTGGAGTAGGTTTCTTCGGATGATGGCAAGATACAGAAACGACACCAGCTATTGACAGTTGAACAGATTTATTGATACACTATTGAGACACTACAAAGACAACACTTATATACATTCTTAATTTTGGCGGGAAGAGTATATATTACACCGTTATCATTGGTCAGTAAGGATGCGCTATGACTGGCTGTTTTTTACATCCGGCCATATGGGATTGGTCACATAGGGGAGACATATGATTGGGTTAGAGGTTAAAGGTCGCTGAAGGCCGAATCCTAAACTGTTACCAAGCTCGGTGATTTTGATTTCCAACAATATGAACCAAACCACTTTATAAATTGATATGAACCAAACCCTTTATATATTGATATAAACCAAACCACTTTATAAATTGATATAAACCAAACCACTTTATAAATTGATTATAAACCAAACCACTTTATAAATTGATATGA